CCGAAGCAGTCGCGCTAGCCTGCATCGCTTGTGAACGATTGCTTTCCAGATTCGAGTCTGGGTTCTCAAGACATGTGTGAGGGGGGGGGGGGCGGCTAACTCAAGCCCCAAATAGGGTCTCGAGGTCTGGTGCCTTTGTATGCGAGCAGCGCCTTAGAAGCCGGAGACATGGGAGGGAGCTCTCAAAGCTACCGTTTGAGGGGGGGGCGTCATGAAGTGGTAAGTAGGAGACCTACTGGCGCCAAGAAGGGGGGACATGCAAAGCCCATCATTCGCTCAAAGAGCTCTGTGGCGGTTGAGACGGTGGTCCCGACACACACTCGTCATGTAGTTAGTCGTGCAGTTGTCTCTAATGTCTCTATAGTATGCTGTAGAGGAAGTTCCTACAAGGCCCTATGAATCATAGGCTATGACGGTTCAAGCTTGCTGCCTGTCGTCCTGCTGGGGACCCGGCTCTGCCACCCATCGCCACTTCAGGGCACCTCGAAGGCAAGAACGCCCCAACTTTAGAAATATACTAGCTGCATGGTGCTATGTATATGCTATAATTATGTAGGTGTTTACAACAGCAAAGACTAATTCACTCTGCAGCTTCTGACCCTTGGTCTGAACTCGAAACCTCGCTAGTTGAGACTCGCCTCCACAGCCCAAGCCCCTCGCCCAGGTCAAGCCTCTCAAGCCTAAACTGATTCCCAAGTACCTCAGGCCTAAAAACCCTAAAACCCCTTCTCAATCCCAAGCTAGACCCCCGAAAACCCCCGACCGAGCCCTAAAAGATAAAAGCTTCGACCTATTAAGAAGTTCAGCCTGGAAGTCTTTTAAAGCTTTTGGGATGGTTTGAACCTGGCAAGCCTTCCTCCGGAAATCCATCGGGCGATAAGGGTTTAGGGTGACCTGTATTCATGCAGATCCATGGTCTCTGCAGGTGGTTGTGTCCGGCCCAAACCATGCTGAGATGTCATGCCAGTATGTCTTGCCAGGGAACAGGTTCAACAGCTATGCTCTCGTGAGACTCTCGTGCAGATGCAGGCAGGGAGAAGAATAATGCAAGGAGACCACCCATGGAGATGCCATGAGACGCCCCCCTGCCGCCCTGCAGCATGATCCATCAACCCCGAATCTCTCGGTGAATTTGTCCGTCTCTTCAAGCCATGGCGTTCGAGTTTGGCTTCGTGAGGCACTTTGCATCTCTTTGCCGGGGCCCGTGCTTCTTGAGGCCAAACTTGGCCGGTCAGCGGAAAGGCCGTCATCGCAGAGAGCATCAGGTGAGAGATCATGGGCGGAGAGCTCAGACTAATGCGTAGATCTTCAGTCTGAGGAATGAAACAATCCTGACGCAGATTGAAACTTACCTTGCTACACCCCGAGCTTGTCTTCACTCTGACATAAGTCGCTAAGTGGTCTCTTCAGTGGTCTTCCGCTGTGGACTTGCTAGCGACTTGGGATTTGCACATCTGGCATCCGAAGCTTTGCTAGGTCCTTGTCTTTGGGCTGAACACGGCTCTTATGGTGGAGAAACTTGCGCGGTCTTTAACGGCCCAGAGGTTGTCTCCCTGTTATCTGATGTCACCCGTGCTTGTCTCGTAGTTTTCCCACACGGACGATGGATTCGGCTTGGACGGTTCCCTGTAAGGAGGCCTTGCCCTCCACCCTGCACTGAAGCACGGTTGGAAGCGTCTGACGTCGGAAAGCTTCATGATCGTGGAGCCTTTGCCTTCGCTTCCCGCGAGCTACTGCCAGCCGTGACACTCACCGAAAACGAGAGTGTCGTGTCAGTGTAACCAGCATCTCAACAAATTCCAAGTGAGATGCAGAAGCAAAGAACAACGTGCTTGAGCAATGATCCTTCATGTTGAACGCTCGAACCGTGTGCACCTCAAGTCTTTCTTTCGCCCTCGGGTCAGCGCCAGACTTCGCGGTGTCGACCCATCGCTGCACTGGACATCCAGGGCCCATCGGAATGTTGGAAGGGCCCAGAGGTCCCAAATGCTTTGGGCCTTCTCTGCAATCCCCAAAGGGTCCTGTAGGTACTGCGCTAGGGGATATACTTTCCCAAATCAGCATAACTATTTTTATTCCTAATATCTAGAAACCCCAGAAACATCAGACTATAGTATATAGAGGTACATTGGGCCCTTTGGGATCTCTACGGCCCTAGCAGTGCTTGTGAAACTGGCCGCGGCTCCGGCTCCGAGGGGCCTTGCGGAACTCAGGGCCACCCTTTTCTTGTTAGGGCGGATACAAAAAGTAATGTAAAGTAACGATAGCGAGCTCGTATTTCTGAGGAGAGGGTTTCGGATGTTTTTTTCGGCGAGCTGCCTTTTACAAAGCATGCCCATGTGGAGCCGCTAGAGATTCAACGGTTAGCTGCGAGACCTGCATGCGTCTTCGCGCCAGGCTTCTCTTGAGAGGACCCTCCCGAAACGACACAAAGCTGCAAAGTTCCTGAGGATCGCATAAGACTCGCACTGTGCAGATTTCATGAAAACTGACCAAGTTCGCACTCCTTGCTTGTGGCGATTCGGGCTCCCAGGTTCGCTTGGGATCACGGGAATTTGCGCCGCGGCGCACACGACCTCCCAACCCCAGCATCGAAGGATGCATGCTGTACTAAAGATTCACAGAGCTGCAGTAGGCTAGCCATGCCAGGGTTTTAACACCAGGCAACCATGCCAACGGACAGAGATATACGACTCACCCTGACGTCTAAGCTCCATTTTTTGCGCACGGACTTGTGAGCCGCCCACCACAGACCCTCACCCACAAAGCCGAAACCCTCAAAACCCTGAAGCCCATCTGAAGCCCTAAACCCTAAAAGCCCTAAAACCCCTAAACCCTATGCCTTAAACCCTAAAATACCTGAACCTGCGTCGTCTTGGCCTCAAGAGAGCGAGGACAGGAGCTCTTCGGCTTCTCCCTCGCGGCCGCGTTCCTCCGAGGTTTGGAGCCCGGATGCTCTGAGAGAAGTGGGGCGAGGCTGTAGGGTTTCAGGGTTTAGGGGTTTAGGGGTGCAGGGTTCAGGGTTTAGTTGAGGGTTTAGAGGGTGGGGTTCAGGGTTTAAGGTGTAGGCTTTGGGACTAAGAGAAGCCCCAAAATGTAAACTTGAAGCGGTTTAGTAGGAGTTTAATTGTGGATATATGCGTATGGGGTGATGATCACTCGAAGCTGGCATCGCTGAGTTTTCCTGAACGAGTTCGAAACCTTCGACAGTTGCGAAGTTTGGCGATAAATATGGCGACCAAGCTGCTTCCGAAGAGGCCATCTACAGAAATGGAGGCCTTCACGTGTGAGTATACTGCCCAATCGACGAGCATGGATTCCGAGAATCCCTGCTGTGCTTATGTGCCGCAGGCTGCCGCTCGATTCTGAGGCACCGTGTGGGCCCTGGGCTTGTCGAGGTGAGCCCCCGCCTTACAGGCCTCGATGTGTTTGGTGCTTCTGAAGTTGGAGCTAAAGTGGAAAGCTGACCCGAGTAAGGACATCAATATGGAGTACATGTGGATCGTACCGTCAGGACCAAAACGCGAAAGCGCTGCGGCTGCGCTTGGCATCAGAGCCAAGATCTACGCTCACAGAAAAATGTCGAACAGATGCGACAGAAGACTGGAAGTCTTGGGGGTCTTCATCTGCCGGATACATTTCGAAGCGAAGCACCTCCTAGCTTGAAAATTCTTGGGTTTGAGGGCGTTGCCTTGAGAAACTTGGCCAGCTTCTTGGTGGCGGTGATGGTTTCCTTGTGCTGCGTGCCGTGCACAGACTGACCTTACTGACCCCGAGCGGCAAAGCTGGGTGTTGTATCTGAATCAACGTTCCAACTCTTTGGGCATATGCTATAATCATTGCTTCTGAAATTAACGTTGATGTTAGAAGGGGGCGGGGTGTCGGACCACCCCGATCCATATAGTTGCAGTAAGCTTGTTGCCGTGAAATCGAGAGCTTGGAACAGTCAGGCAGTGCCCTAGAACTGTGTACACTCAGTATAAATGCTAAAAAGTGGGCTCGATTCATGCCCTCATCTCAACAGTACTACTCGGCAGTGCTCGGCATGTTGCATTTCTACATGAGTAGTGGTGCAGTCAAGATGCATCTCTTGAGTTTCTCGCAGAAGAGCTGCTCTGCCTCCTTCCATTCCTCCTTTCTCCTTGCGAATGAGTACGTGTTTCATCAGGATATCGAACATGAAATATGAACGGCATTGTTTACGATGGTGGCTTCACAAGATTTCACAAGCAGTCCCGTAAGAAGAGCCGAGTCTCCTTCAAAAGGGTGGCCAGGTCAGAAATGCTGCTCATCGTGTCGGCGTGCTCATCGCCCAGCTTGACCCGTCCTCGCAACCACGTGGGGGAATGAGAGGCTCACGCCGGCGCGTGGAACATGATCCAAGAGAAGTACTGCAGCCGCTGCTTTTGTAAAGCACTCACCTTCTCACCGGTGAGCCATGCCAGAGGACAAGACACCCAAAGACATTCAACACAACGAAACAAGACCAAAGTCCTGAACTCCTGGGACTCTGTCAGTCTGCAGCTTGCACGCCCCTGAAACGAAGATAAACGTTCCAAAGCTGAGGCGACCACTGGACTCCAAGACCTGCCGGTAGAGCTCTTCTGCCTCCTCAAGGCGTCCCCGGTCCTGCACCGGTGACAAGCTGGGAGCCATAAGCCCAGTTGCACATTGACAATCATAAGAATGAGCAGAATGAAAACAGGGACTTAGAAGCCTTACATAGAGACGTGATAAGTGGCGGGGTGTGCATTCGCAGGCAAGTCCTTCAGGAACTCGGCAAAATGATCTGAGGAGCTGAGGGTTTCCTCATGCTGGTGGCCATGGACGGACCGACCTGCAAGACCAGGCAGCAGACCTTCTCCAGGCATCCCAGATCCCAGACCCCCACCACTCAGAAACCGCCTCGTCGAAAGCCCAACCCTACGAAGCAATCGCATGCCGGGCTGCACTTCTCGAGCTCTTCGCGGAAGAGCTCCTCTGCCTCCCCGAATTGCTCCCTCTTCACCAACAGGGTCGCCAGGTCGTGCATGCTGCTCAAGGTGTCTGGGTGGGAGTCTCCCGGACTGGCCCGTCCTTGGACCGGACACAGAGGACATGAGAAGGTTGTTGCTCTTCATGCTGCTGTTGCTGCTGCTAACCAGGTGCTGGTACAATCCAAGATGCACACATCCATTTGCCAACGACTGGAGTAAACTGGGTAAACCAGCGACAGACAACGAGAAGACACAATCGCGTCGGTGGTCGTAAGCACAACTGGAAAGGCATGCAGAAGTCTGGATCTGCCTTGAACCCACTCGGCCCACAAATGCCATTTCTGAGGAGATCGCTGGACTGCAACTCTTGGCGGTAGAGCTTCTCTGCCTCCTGCAACTGTCCTCTCTCCTGTGTTGCTGACGAGCTGGGATGCTACTCTAGTAAGCCGCTGGCTTTCATGTCGTCAAGCTGTTACCAAGCTACACCTAGTCCGTGGCCCCCTTCGCACACATGTTGGCTGTTCGCCCCTTTGCGGCCTGCAGCACCTCGGCCAGATGGTGCATCGACTGCAGGGTATTTGGATGCGTCTCGCCCAGCTTTTCCCGGCCTGGGATGTGCAGCTCTCGGCAGTAAAGCATATCAAACCCAGTCGCCCGGACTCTATCTACAAATCCACCACGAAACCCTTTCACTTCGAACTGCTGGCTACACGACTACTGTGCTGCTGCATCAATCGCCGTCACTCGAGCTTGGGCTCCCTAAGCTCTGCTGCAGAGCCTAGATACCGACTGTTCCTTTGTTACACAACTGGCTAAATTGTCACACGATTCTTCAATACCACAATACCAGCTGGGGCGGCGGCGACCCTGTAATGCTTTGCGGTGCAGCTGCTCGGCCTCCTCATAGCGTCCCCGTTCCTGTCGTCGTGCTAATGTGGGGTTGGCTCCGATGCAGGTGCAGTGCCCTGTTCTTCATTAAGAGCATGCCAGACTCCCATGAAGCGTGACTTATGCACGCATGCACGAGGGCCAACTGCTACTCAACCCGAATCCAGGAAGTTTACAGTTTGCCCGCCAGTGCCTGCAGCAAATGCCCCAAATTGTTCATCGATATCAGTGCGTCTGGGTGCGTCTCGCCCAATCTGGTCCGGCCTCGAGAATAATTGCAGAAGGGCCCTGCCGAAGAAAAAGGCACATGCAAATGCGCTTGACTCAGCTAGGATGTGATTCGCCCATCATCCCTGCACTATAATGTTCATTTCGACAAGAGCTTCCAGTGCAAGGGAAAGGTTTGGTTTTGAGCGTTTGTTTTCACTCGTTTGGGAATCCTTCGTCAAGAGCAGCTCGGCTGTTGGGATTAAGCAGATGCTGCAGGGCTGTTCAATGGAAGGTATATGTCGCTACTACCTTGCGCCAGCATGCGGTGCAGTTTTCACGGATACAGCACCGAAAACTATTCCATAGCAAAGCATACGTGGGCAGAGACAGATGCTGACATGAGAAACCAACATTCGGTTGCCTAACAGAACAATCTACGACTCTGTGACATAGTGCAGCAACAGAAACAACGACATTAGGAAACACTGCAGCTGAGGCTGCGTACTAAGCATCGACCTTGTCAAGCGGCACTACAAGTAAGTGTGTGTGTGTGCGTGCGTGCGT